GCGCGACAGTGGGGTGCGCGTGACGGCACGCGTGTCACACGTTGCGCCCATTATGATTATATTATATTTTTCGCCGTTCTCCTCCTCGCGACTCGCATTTATTATTTACACCAGTACGCTCCATCTTCAATCTTCTTATGTATTTTTAGTTGTTCTCGTAAAATGCTTTTTTGTTAAATTGCAAACAAAAATTTCTATTTTTTACAATTTAATTTACTAGAAGCCAAATGTGATTATTATATGATTTTTGAAAAACATATTTGCAAGCAATATTCGTATTAGCTGTAATTGTTACTTTGTACCAAGAAATTTGATTACTCGATTTGATTATTATTTTTTCCATGCTTCACGAAAGTGGTAGGTTTTGGAAAGACTGTATAGGGGGAACCAGTTCAGAATAATGTTTACGACGTGTCATAATTACAGGATCCCACGCAGCGGGCTTTACCTTGTGTTTAACCAGCACTATTTTCATGCAATGTTACTCGATCCCTCTTTTACGATCCATGGTCTTGCATTAATTATTATTATTATTTTTCACTTGAGCAGCTATACAAAACATGTGCTATTAACGGATAATACGATCGGTCTGACATACTCTATATATTTATCGTACAAATGATTACAACACAATTTAGGATACAATGATAAATAAAATTTGAATAAGACATTTACAAGCAAGTTAATAAACATCTTCAAAAAAATGCTTTGTTAAAAAGAAATATTTTTTGAAAATGTATATTATGATACATGTCGCAAAATATATAATACTTTATTTAATGGAGACATTAGTGCGTTAAAAGCTTGATCCGTAAATATCTTGTGGAGAATCGAGGTGAAACGTGGAAATTTACGTCCTGGAAGCCTGCCGACGAATTACCGCGAGAACGATGGTCGGTGAACGCGGGGCGGGGGTGTTGCCGGGAAATTAAAATCCTTCGTAAAGTCTTCTGGAAGCGATAGAGAGATCTCGTGCCGCGCCGGGTAAAAAGGAGAGGAATAGTAACGGAGTGGGCAGGGGGTAAAGGGAGCAGAGGGGGGTTGCGTAGTCGGGGTCCATTAGGAAACCCCTAGGGCAAGGGAGAAGATCGAGCTGGAAGGAAAGAGAAAAGGCCGGGGAGGTGAGCAGAGAGGACGGAAAGAGCGAGAAAGGTTGGCGGTAGACGAGGCGGCGGAGGGGAGAAGAGTGCCCTCTATCTCGAGAAGTGTCACCGATGATGAATAGTTGGCATGAACAAAAAGAATGCTAACCGCGTCCCCGCCGCTCGACGACCTGAAATCCCCCCCCTTTCTGCTCTTCCATCGCACCCCCGTCCTTCTGAAGCCGGGAGTAGCAGGACGAAGCCAGTTCTTCCGGCTCCCCGGTCGATTTTCCACGAACCAAAGAGAGAATCGAAAGGCGTGGGGAACCGAGCGAGGACGATATCATCTTAATTAAAAGTTGCCAATTCATTTCGTCCGTCGTTTCCACCCCGTGAACTCGGCCACTACAGAGACATCGAGGGTACGAGCGTACCCGAAGCTATGCGCGGAGGTGGGAAGAGGCGGCTTCTTCTTTTGTCTTACCGTCGTGTCATCCCGTGAAAGCCGCGAATACGGAAGGGAAGGGGGTGAGAAAAAAAGTCGGGAACCCGAGATAATAATAAGAAGTTCGTCCGAGGAGGAAATTAAGTAAAGCGGCCCCGTAGGAAAGCCGGGGGACAATCCCGGCACGATGTTTCCCCCTTTTAAACGCCTCTGTCTCTCTTTATTCACGTAAACGTGCTATTCTTTCACATTTTACTTTACTTAGTCGGTGCTTTGCGCGCGATGTTAAAAAAATTTTATAT